CCCCGCCCCTCACCCCGAAACCGCCCCTTCCTCCCAGGGCCCGCCCTCTCAGCCCCAAACCTGATTTCTAATCCCTGGACCACTTTAGCCTGTTACCTGTATTTGCAGATGTTTCCCCACTCTTACATTCTATCTCTTCTGATGTGTTCATTCCCTTCCTGTCCTCTACTTACTTTTTGCACTTGTATTTTTCTTTCGTCGTCTCTTTTAACCCTAATTTTAGCAAGCTTTCCACTCTCCCATGGTGGGTCTCTTTTTTTTTTTTTTGGAGACAGGGTCTTTCTGTGTTGTACTTACTGGCCTGGAAGTGACTGTGTAGATCAAGCTGGCCTCAGACTTGTGCACGCTGACCTCGTGCCTCTGGCTCCTGAGTGCTGGTATTACAGGGTGTCCCAACATGAGGGCAACTTTTTTTAATTTTGTGACATTGCCCACTGCTTTTCACATTTCCTGTCTTGAAAGCACTATTTTTGTCTTTTGAGATGGTGTCTCATTCTGTAGCTCAGGCTAGCCTAGAAGTCATCATCCTACTGCTTCACCCTCCCAAGTGCTGGGATTACAGGTGTGAACAACCATGCTCTGCTTCCAAAGCACTTTTATTTGTGAGTTTAATTTTGTACATGGGAAAATAGTGGCCCAGTATGGCACCACTGAGCCTAGTTCATGTCTAGAACTCTGGCATCCCAGTTCACTGTGTAGCTGAGGATGACATTGAATTTTTGATTCTCTTTCCTCCCACCTTCCAAATTCTGGGATTGCAGGAGGCCTGTGCTAGCAGGCCCAGCTCTATTTTCTTTACACCAGAGCCTTTTACCACCATATTAGTCACTGCTATTTGTCATAGTCTTCTTTTGCCCTTCCTTAGCATGGTTTCTGTTCTTCCCACTCTAAGTTGTTTATATTGTAATTCATTTTAGACCAAGATCACTCAATGGATGAAGTGACAGCAGTGGTGAAGATCGAGAAAGGCATTGGTGGCAATAATGGAGGGAATGGCAATGGTGGTGGTGCGTTTTCTCAGACCCGGAGCAGCAGCACAGGCAGTAGCAGCAGCAATGGTGGCGGAGGAGGGCAGGTGAGTGATCACTTGGTGTGGGGAAGGTGTTGAGAGGGTATAAACATTCTTAGAAATTTCCTTAATCTTCTGGCTAAGAAAAGGAAATGACTTTATAGATTTAGGAGCCCCAAGCTACAACAGTACACACAAGTCAGCATTTTGGTTCTGGGTTTTACTCTATATGCCTGCACTGTTGCTGTTTGTCTGTTCTATACTGCCCCCTAGGCTGGCTATTGGGTGCTACTAACTCCTTTCCTCTCTTCTGGGCAGGAATCCCAGCCATCTCCTTTGGCTCTGCTGGCAGCAACCTGCAGCAGAATTGAGTCACCCAATGAGAACAGCAACAACTCCCAGGGTCCGAGCCAGTCAGGGGGCACAGGTGAACTTGACCTCACAGCCACACAACTTTCACAGGGTGCCAATGGCTGGCAGATCATCTCTTCCTCCTCTGGGGCTACCCCTACCTCAAAGGAACAGAGTGGCAACAGTACCAATGGCAGCAATGGCAGTGAGTCTTCCAAGAATCGCGCAGTCTCTGGTGGGCAGTATGTTGTGGCTGCCACCCCCAACTTACAGAACCAGCAAGTTCTGACAGGTCTACCTGGAGTGATGCCCAATATTCAGTATCAAGTAATCCCACAGTTCCAGACTGTTGATGGGCAGCAGCTACAGTTTGCTGCCACTGGGGCCCAAGTACAGCAGGATGGTTCTGGTCAAATACAGATTATACCAGGTGCAAACCAACAGATTATCACAAATCGAGGAAGTGGAGGCAACATCATTGCTGCTATGCCAAACCTGCTCCAGCAGGCTGTCCCCCTTCAAGGCCTTGCTAATAATGTGCTCTCAGGACAGACTCAGTATGTGACCAATGTTCCAGTGGCCCTGAATGGGAACATTACCTTGCTACCTGTCAACAGCGTTTCTGCAGCTACCTTGACTCCCAGCTCTCAGGCAGTCACGATCAGCAGCTCTGGATCCCAGGAGAGTGGCACACAGCCTGTCACCTCAGGGACTGCCATCAGTTCAGCCAGTTTGGTGTCATCACAGGCTAGTTCCGGCTCCTTTTTCACCAATGCCAGTAACTACTCAACAACTACTACCACCAGCAACATGGGAATTATGAACTTTACTACCAGCGGATCATCAGGGACCAGCTCTCAAGGCCAGACACCCCAGAGGGTCAGTGGGTTACAGGGATCTGATCCTCTGAACATCCAGCAGAACCAGACATCGGGAGGCTCACTGCAAGGAAGTCAGCAAAAAGAGGGAGAGCAAAACCAGCAGACACAACAACAAATTCTTATTCAGCCTCAGCTAGTTCAAGGGGGACAAGCTCTTCAGGCTCTCCAAACAACACCGTTGTCAGGGCAGACATTTACAACTCAAGCTATTTCCCAGGAAACCCTCCAGAACCTCCAGCTTCAGGCTGTTCCAAACTCTGGTCCCATCATCATTCGGACACCAACAGTGGGGCCCAATGGACAGGTCAGTTGGCAGACCCTTCAGCTGCAAAATCTCCAGGTTCAGAACCCACAAGCCCAGACAATCACCTTGGCTCCGATGCAGGGTGTTTCCTTGGGGCAGACTAGCAGCAGCAATACCACCCTTACACCTATTGCCTCAGCTGCCTCCATTCCTGCTGGCACAGTCACTGTGAATGCTGCTCAACTTTCCTCCATGCCAGGCCTCCAGACCATTAACCTCAGTGCATTGGGTACTTCAGGGATCCAGGTGCACCAGCTTCCAGGTCTGCCATTGGCTATAGCAAATGCCCCAGGTAAGACATACTACAATTTTTTGCACTTACTACAAACTAATACTTAAATGAAACTAATAAAGGGGAGGAAAATTGAACCTTCTTAGATGTTTCCTTAAGGGGTATTTAAGCAAATATATTAGAAAAATAATATTTTAAGGCAGTTGAAGCCAAATCAGTAGAAACCTTTTTGCAGTTATCTGATGAGAAAGGAACACTTGGCTAATATCCTGTGGTCTCTACTTCTCGGTATACCACAGAATAAAGTTTGGCAAACCTTTCGCAAAGAACCAGGTAGTAAATATTTTAGTCTTTGTGGTCCACATAGGTTCTCAATCGTGTTTCATACTCTTTTTGGTTTGCTCCTTCCTACTCCACCCCCACCCCTAGTAGTGCTAGGGATTGAACCTAGGGCCTCCTACATGTTAGGCTAGTGTATCCCAAGCCTCTTGGTTCAAAGTTTTTTCAAAAACATGCTTTAAAAATGTAAAACCAGCCCGGCAATGGTGGTACACGTCTTTAGTCCTAGCATTCACAGTTGGGAAGCAGAAGCAGGCGATTCTCTGTGATTTCCAGGCCAGCCTGGCCTACATAGTAAGACCATGTCTTAACAACAAAAAAAGTAAAAACAAGACTAGGATGGCTGCTCAGTGGCTGAGTGCTTGTCTAGTGAGTGTGAGGCCCTGAGTCCACCTCTAGAACCACAAAAAGTTTTTGGTTTGTTTTTGTTTTTTGTCTTTTTGAGAGAGGTTCTTCCTGTAGCCCCAGCTGGCCTACAATTTGCTATGTAGACCAGGCTGGCCCAAATCTTAAAGTAATCCCGCTTCTGCCTCCCTGGATTAAAGGCATGCACTATCATGCCTGATTCCAGGGCATTTTTAAATTGAGATCTCAGCTTTGTAACCCAATCTGGCTTTGAGTTTATATAATCCTGCCAAGTGCTGGAATCATAGACATCTGCTACCATGACCACATCCATCAAAAAATTAAAAAATAGAAATTGTAAAACCACTGACAGCACTAAAGTTAATAATCTCTTCCTCATACTCCTCCTTTTTTTTTTTTTCTTTTTTTACTTTCCAGACATGGTCTCACTATGTAGCTCAGGCTGACCAGGACTTCTATATATAGACCAGAGTAGCCTTGAACTCACAAAGATCCTCCTGCCTCTGCCTCCCCAGTGCCTGTCCTATGCTCTCCACACCCATTTCCTGGTTAATCTTTAGTTAACCAGAACTTCCTACATCCTGTGCAAGCTGATTAATTGAGTAACTGAGGTTTAATCCTTTTTTTTTGTTGTTCCTTAAAACTCCTAGTTACTTTGGAAACAATCTCTGTGCTTCCCCTCACATTTGTGTGTGTGTGTGTGTGTGTATTTTTATTACCTTATTTATTGTGTGTGTGCTTAATGGTGTAGGTGTGGTGGTCAGAACAGCTTGCTGAAGTCAGTTTTCCTTTCACCATGTGGGTTTCAGGGATCAAACTCAGGCTTGGTTGCAGGTGTCTTTACCTGCTGAGCCATCTTGCCCTTATTAATATATTTTTAAACAAGCTTCCTATGGGATTCTGATATTTCTTTGGTAGAATTCTGTGATAGTACAAGGCTGTTTGTGTAGGGTTGGAAAGGTAGAGGAAAGAATGGGGAAAATTGGGTTTAAGATGGAGCCAGGAAGTGGGCTTCAGAGGAGTTAGTAATAAGGAAAACATTGAGAGGAAAAAGAATTTGTGATTTGGAGTTTGAATGCATGTTGAATCAGTTGACCACAATATTTAGTCTTTTACTCTTAACTGTGTTACATTGTCAGCTAATTTGAAATTAAAAAGTAACCATTGAGCTGGGCATGGTGGCTCATGCCTTAATCCCAGCACTCCGGAGGCAGAGGTAGCTCTGTGAGTTCCAGGCCAGCCTGGTCTCCATAGGGAATCCAGGCCAGCTTTGGCTACCAGGAGACCCTGTCTCAAAAAACCCCCCAAAACAACAACAACAACAACAAAAAAACATTGGAAGCTGGGCATGGTGGTACATGCCTTTAATTCCAGCACTTGGAAGGCAGAGGCAAGAGGATTTCTGTGAGTTCAAGGCCAGCCTGGTATACTTAGTGAGTTTCAGATCAGCTGGGGCTACAGGGAGACCCCCATCTCAAAATTAATCGAAAAATAAATAATCATTGGTTGGATGTAGTGGCCTGTACACCTGTCATCCCAGCACTTGGAAGGCTGAACAAGAGAATTATGAGTTCAGGGCCAGCTAGGGGCTTCATGAGTGAGACTCAATCCCAAAAACCTAAAATTCATAACTGTAACTGGTAAGAATAAAAGCCTATTTTGTATTTTGAATTTGTCTTTTTTTTTTTTGGTCTTTTTGAGACAGTTGACTTAGTGATCAAGAGCACTGGCTGCTCTTGCAGAGGACCCAGGTTCTGTTCCTAACATCCACATGGCAGCTAACAACCATCTGTACTTTTAGTTCCTGGGTATCTGACACCCTCTCTGGCCTCTTTGGATATTGCACTTACATGAATGCAAGCAAAACATTCATATAAAATAAAAATAGTTTGGAAAATAGTTGAATATCATTGAGATTCTAGGTCTGCTGGAATATGTGTGTTCATTAGCAGTTTACATTTCTGAGCTGGGCGTGGTGGCTCATGCCGGTAGTTCCAGCACTTGGGAGGCAGAGGCAGGCGCATCCTTGGGCTGGGGCTCTCAGTTGGTAAAGTGCTTGCCTAGCATGCTGGAAGCCCTGGTTCCATCTCCAGCATGCCATAAAACTGGGGAAGAGGGCTGCATGCCTGAGGTAGAAGAAGCAGAAGGATCACAGATTCATTGTCATCTCAGCTACATAGCAAGTTCAAGGCTAGTCTGGGTTATAGGAGTTCCTGTCTCCAAAAAAAGATAAAAAATTTAATGATCTAAAACAGGTGACAGGTGTTTTGTAGGCTAAAAATTGTGGGAATAGACATGGAGTAAATTTTATAGAAATAGAACTCAAATGCCTGGAAAATTAGACACTCTGTAGGTGATTTGTTTATTTAATTTTTTTTTCCCTTTGGTCTTTTTGAGACAGGGTCTCCCTGATTAAAGGTATGGACCACCACATCCGGCATAACAGTTTTGCTCTTTATAAGAGGCAAATTGTGGAATTGTTCCAGCTAATAATTTGGATCCTTGCAGTTTCTAAAAGGTTTATAACGCAGGCTCTAGAGATCAGTTATGAGGCATTTTCATTGCTTAAGCATGCTCTAGGGAAGCCTGCCATTGAATATGCCATAGGATAGGGTTACCTAGTTGTTGGTCCCTAAACTCAAGAAAATGGATCCATTTCTCTTAAGATATCAGCAGTTTGACATTCACAAGTAGAACAAGATACCTAAAGACCATTTTAAAAAATGTGTATGTGTGTGAGGACATCCAGGTCAGACAACTTTGTAGAGCTCTGACTGGCCCTGCAAGGCCATTTTGTGAGAGTTAGATTGTTTGCTTCATTAACAGTGTCCTTTTTAATTTACCTTTTAAAATGTTTGAGACAGGGTCTAGCCCAGGCAGGCTAGAGGATAGCCCAGGTAGTTGAGGATGACCTTGATTTTTTTTGTTTTGTTTTGTTTTGTTTTGTTTTGTTTTGTTTTGAGACAGGGTCTCCCTGTAGCCCCAGCTGTCCTGGAACTCACTGTGTAGACCAGGCTGGCCTTGAACTCACAGAGATCTGCCTGCCTCTGCCTCCAGAGGGCTGGGATTAAAGGTGTGCACCACCATGCCTGGCTCTGTTGTTGTTGTTGTTATTATTATTATTTTCTTTTTCTTTTTCTTGGTTTATATGATATATGGTCTTCCTGTAGCCCTAACTGGCCTGGAATTCACCATGTAGACCAGGCTGTCCATCTCACAAAGATCCCCTGCCTTTGCCTCCTGAGTGCTGGGATCAAGGGTATGTGCTACCACACCCAGCTTTTTTGTTGTTGTTGTTGTTTGTATTTTTTTTTTAATATTTTATTTATTATTTTTATGTGTATGCGTGTATTGCCTGCATGTAAGTAAGTGCACCTGTGTTGTGCAGTGCCTTTGGAGGACAGAAGAGGCTGTCAGATCCCCTGGAAATGGAGTTACAGACAGTTGTTAGCTGCCATGTGGGTGCTGGGATTCAAACCCAGGTCTTCTGCAAGAATAATCAGTATTCTTAACTGCTGAGCCATCTCTCCAGCCCTTTTAATTGTATTTTTGAGACAGGGTCCTCCTGTAGCTCCAGCTGACCTAGAACTCTCTTTGTAGACCAGGCTAGCCTCATACTCACAGAGAGTCTACCTCCTGAGTGCTGGGATTAAAAAAGTCATGTGCCACTATGCTCAACCTTGAGTTTTTTTTGAGACAGGGTCTTACCTTGTAGCCCTAGCTGGCCTAGAGCTCTTACATTAAGAGTTTTTCTGCTGGGTGTGGTGGCACACCCCTTTAATCCCAGCACTTGGGAGGCAGAGGCAGGTGGATCTCTGAGTTCAAGGCCAGCCTGGTCTACATAGAGAGTTCCAGGCCAGCTGGAGCGACAGGGCAACCCTGTCCATCTGTTTTTCTGGCTTTGCCTCTATTGGGTGGTAGTGAGGAAAGGGACCTCCCAGTTAACTGAGTTTAGTTCCGAAACAGTGAAATGCTATGAGTTGTTATTTGTGGGTTTTTTTTCTTCTTCCTCCCCTTCCTCCTTCTCTCTGCTTCTTCCTTTCTTTTAAAAAATAATCACTGGCTTTTTTTTTTTTTTTTTTTTTTTTTTTTTTTTTTTTAAAAAGGTCTCCCTGTAGACCGCTCAGCTGGCCTTGCTTTATAGACCTGGCTGGCCTTGAACTTGCAGAGATCTGCCTGCCTTTGCTTCCCAAGTCTGGCACTAAAGGCATGTGCCACCATGCCTGGCACGACTTCCTTTTTTAAATTAACATCTTTTCCTTTTTATCAGCAACCATTTTTCTTATTTTGTAGTCTTTCTCTCCCCCTCAGACCTGCTAAATTCTAAAAACTTGTTCTGGGCATGTGTATAGAGG